TCATATATTTATTTATAATATATATATTTTTATTTATTTTCAGATTTGTGTTTTCATTATTTTTAAAATTCCTACTTTCTTGTATTTTATATATTTTTTGTTTACATAAAAAGTTAGTAAAGACATACATGTTACAATTTTAAGTCGAAATTTATAAGGTAGGTATAGTTTAAATATATGTGTGTTTCGTAACTATAGTCCGTAGCTTCGTAGCGCAATTTCCTTTGGATATTTTAAGAAAACGCTTCGTTTCTGAGATTCAGAATGTTGAATTTAATATCTTCTAAATGCTGTTTTTTAGAAATTGAATTTTGGTACACCGTGTACTCGACTTCGTATTAACGAAAAGTTAAAATTTACATATAACAGACATTATGATAGAAAATATTAAATAAATTTAATAATCCCTTAAGACATTTAAGTGGCACACCCTGTATACTTGTTTAGTCCTGCATATAGAATTGTTTACGTTTATTTATTACAAGTATGTGAAAACAATTCTTAAAATGTGGGGTGAGGATATCACTAAACGCATTTTTAAAAGTTATTATTTTATTTGGGTAAATTTAGACAGTAACAATGAGTAAAGAGTACTTCAAGGATTTTATTTTTGTGTTTACTTTTGTTCTACACGTTTTATATTTCAAGGGTTCAGTACCTAAAAACGCCAGAAATTTAACTATTTCACGGCCGGGAATACGGCCGCCGGCCACCTTAAAATTCATAAACGCAACGCGCTTTATTAAGATAGAAACATGTGACAACAGCGGCAGTACCAATAAATAGTTGTCATGGAAACGGACGCGCTAGTCTGCTTCTTTGGAATACCGCTATATTCCAAAGTTTTGAAATTTTAACAAGTATGCATCGTCATGCCATCTATCAGCCACCTTAGGACCTATTCGCTAAATACATTCCCACGAACCTTCTGTAGCGTAGCTATTTATTCTGTGCTGCCATGCATTAACGATGAAAAAAACGGCAACATCGCATTGCTTAATAATGTAAATGCTCTTAAATAAGCTTCTTAGAGTTAATAAGTGAGTGTTCGTCAAAGTGACCGTTGTGACTTCCAATCAAGTGATTAATAATGAATTCGCGCGGTAAATTAATGGTGAATTTGGCGATTAAAGGTAAATATAGAGGGTGATTCACAAATAGTGATCAAGTATAACACCTTGTGTTTTTTATGCATTTTTAGGGATTAGGTGAATGTAGGGATTAGGTAGTGAATGAAATAATTTGAAAATGAGCACACGTATTTTTGTAAACGTTAAAATTTTGATACACCAGTGGCGAAAATCCAGAATATTAGTGTATTTTCTGAATAAAATGCGCCACCACTTTATTGGAACGACAGTGATATTTTCGGATTCGTGTTTCAATTTTCTACGAAATACTTCTTAATGTTTTTCGGAAAAAGTGAACTGAAAGCGCATTACATATTCGAATAAAATGCTGTTTAAAATTGCATAGTAGACTGCCATAGCAACTTTTAAATGTACATGTAGGTATTTTTGAGCATTTATTGATATAAAATGTTTCATTTAAATAAGTGTTCTCGGTTTCGGTTTGTTTTTAATTGTACTCGAAAACTAGACTTTTTCCGAAAAACCTGAAGAAGTAGCAATTTACAGAAAATTGAAAGACGATTCCAAAAATATCATGGTTGTTATAATAAAGCAATAGTGTATTATTGTATTTAGAAAAAATGCTATCATTACCCTGCATCTTCGCCACTGGAGCATCTAAATTTTAGGAAGATGTTCTAGACAATGTTTACATAAATCCATGTGCAGATTGTTAAGTTATCTTCAAGTAATTTTTAAAATATTTAAAAAGATAACAAATATACCTATTTTAAGTTGAACACTCTGTATCGTTTTAATTTTTGGTCGCCGTTTCTTAATTACCCTGAATATAAGCAATATATTTTAACAAGAAATTATTTTTTCCTCGAAATTTTTACATTTTTAAAGTATAAACTAATAAAATGAGAAATATTAGACTAAAAAAAATGTAATTTTGTTTCTAATTTGGTGAAAAGAGGTTGAAGTATAATTAATATGTTAAAATGTGCTTATGTATATTTATTTTTAGAAAATAAAAATCCACATTTATCTTTAGAAAGTAATCAAATAAATTCCAAGAACTTAGATATTCTAGAAAGAACTTCTGTAAGTAGTTTTACACAATTAACGATATATTATATCCATGTTGATCGTCTTTTTGTAGAAGTGGGTTAACGAAATAAATTCCAATAGTTCGTGTAGCATCGTTTCAGATAGCTATGACAGCAATTCAACTATTTCAATTCCATTTATATTTGAGAATGAAGAAGAATTTTTATCTCCTAAAAAAATTAAAGTACGTATGTTATATGTCTCTTCATATGAAATTTATATTAATAAGTATTTTTTTTAGATTTTGTCAGATGTTCTTGTTTCTGCGAATCCTTCACAGGTTACTTCAAACATTAAGTATAATTTACCCTCGAAATCAACAGATGTTTATGAATTTCACTCCGACAATGTTGAACAGGAACATAACATTGAACATGAAAAACTTTTTATCATCAGTCAGTGTTCCAGGAATAGCGAATTGTGCCATGAATCAAAAGAAAACAACAGTTTAAAAACAAATAATCCGGTTTGTAAAAATGACAAAATTTTTTTTCGTCACAGCACAGACATTTCAATTACATATAATTTTATTCCCGTGAGTTGTGATATTTAACCTGTATTTGTTCAGAAAGTTACCATTTCTTACTATTTTTTTGAGATATCTAGTAGAATTTAATAATTATGATTTTAACGTTGCTTCTCTATGCAAATTAATGGTAAGGAAATCCCAAATTTGACCACCATTTTTTAAAGTTTGCAGAATAATTTTAAGACAATCTTTGTACGAAAGTCAAAAATAACTATTTTTGAATTAGTAAAAAATTTTTATGCTAATAAATACTAAATAACTTTTATTTACTGCGTGCCTAAGCTAATAATAATTATAATAAAGTCTTCTTATAAATAAAATTTAATTTTCTACATCTCCTGAGTTAAATGACAATTTTAACATTTGTAGTTAAATGAAAACATTATTTCAATATTATAATTTTTCAGATTTTTTTAAGTAAATTAAATTCAAATCTGAAAATCAAAGGTGAGGACGGTTCCACAATTACTTCGAAAACGTCTTATATTGAAAGGAATAATTTACCATCAACGTCAAAAGATATTTATGAATTTCATTCAGATAGTAGCAGCATTGAAGATGATAACGTAAAGGATAAAGACTTTGAAATCTCTCAATATCCGGATGATAGCGAATCGTCAACAGAAATTTCAGAAAATTCCAGTTTAAAACAAATTAACCTTACTAATACCAAAGAGCTTGAAAAGACTACTGAAAGAATATTTTCGCCATTGTTGTGTCAAGAAAATAAGGTAATTATTTACGTTATGTAAATTTCCCTGTTATAACAGGATATACGGAAATGATGAGTAAACGTTTAAGAAGGTGATTCTACTCGAAAATTGTTGCCACAAGTTCCTGTATTGTTTTTGTGAAAACTCATAGAAACCTACTGGATATATAGGGTGTAAAATTTATTATTATAACTTTTTTGTCATTGTTTTGATTATCTTCAAATTTGTCAGATTTATTTCTTATATTTTTTGTATAAAGTTCTCATTTTTTATCCAAATTTGAAGTAAAGAATTTGGAGTTTCCCCTGGTATTTGTTGAGTGCTGTAAAATTTTTAAACGCGTTTTTCTCGAAAACAACTCATCTCGTAATATATAACATTTTTAAATATATCTATGTATAATATTTTTAAATATTTAACGATCTTTAATTTTCTCTCATAAATAAAAAAAAGTTCTGAGTGACTTAAATATCAAGGGCTGCTTTAAGTCATCTGGTATTGAAAGATTTACTTCAAATTCGGAACAAAAATGCAAAATAGAAGATAATCGAAGTACTGACAAAAAGTTATTTAAAAGATTACATTGAAAAATTAATTTGTATCCGTTAATTTTGAGTTTTCATAAAAATGGTATAGGAACTTGTGGTATCAATTTTTCGAGTAAAATCGCCTCCTCAAATGTTTGCTCATCATTTCCGGATACTGCTCATATAATTTCCGGACACACTGTAAGAAAAATTTTAATTAAAAAAAATACACCTCAATTTTTAACAGTTTATTAATAGTAGTAAACTAAAATCTAAGAATAAAATACGTCTCTGAACAACGCGTCTTTTATATCTTTTACTTTTAACTAATATTCAATTTGGTGAATTTTCATGTTTTTCATAGATATTTACTCGTATATTAGTGTTTGCGCCACAAACCGAATTTTATCTTGCCGCAGGCAGCAAATATTTCTAATACATGTATAATATAGCGAAATACATATTTTTTAAATCAAGTCAAGTTGTTATCTATCGATTGCTAAATATATTTGTCCTTGAAAAAGTGAAGACCTTTCAAATTCAAAGTTGATATTTTTTAACACGTAGCTGTGAGCCCGGTTACTAAAAGAATGCTTTCTCGTTCGGCAATAATTTATTTTTAACCGCTATTAAATAAAATTGGAGATTGATATAATATTTTGCGAAATACATTTCCCAAATTAGATTGCCATAAATGGTCTTATGTTTAAATATTTGTATTTATACAATACAATAAGAGTTTACAGAATATTAAATAATTTTAATATGGTAAAAGATGTCGGAGCACAGAACAATTTTTTTTAAATATAGGTATTTTGTGTTCCATATTTTTTTGTTCACATTATTCATCAATTGTATTGTAAGAGCAAATTGTAAATATACTTTTCACCTTTTTGGGATTATCAGTAATGGCTAGAATTAAGGACTGATAATCATAAATCTAATTAAATTTGCAGATTAATATAAAATCAAATAAACTCATCCACTGCAAGTTTTGCTTGATGGATATAGCAACAAAAAATTTCATGAGGCATTTGCAACGACATCACATAAATATCAAGGAAATAGAAGACATATTTCAACACCCAAAAAATAGCACAGAGAGAAAAAATGCAATGGCTTTACTTAGAAATGAAACGAATTTTAAATTGTATTTACAGGGAAATGTAAAACCCAATCGAAGAAATTTTGACAATATATACGACAACACTCAATATTACCCTTGTGCATATTGTAAAGGGCTTTTCTTAAAAAATTTTTTAAAACGCCATGTTAAAGTATGCATTGCTTTTAATAGAAACAAAAATGAAAGAAAGCAGTTGAAATTAAATCATATTTCTCGTTCCCATACTGTTACCGCTTGTGCAGCGGATCCGACTAATGTAATTTCTCAATTAAATGTCAAGGAACAGGTGAATATATTTGTATGTATACTTTTTATACTAACTGTCTCATATGATCTTATTTAAGGTTTTCGATTTAATGAAGGGTGATGACATCGCATTTCAGGCCAAAAAAGACTTACTTATAGCACATTTTGGCAATTCATATCTTAAGAAACACAAAAGAGAACGTATGGCATATGCGTGTAGTACACGAATGCGGGAACTCTCTCGATTATTAATAAGTTTTCGAAAATTAATCGATAATGAAAACATAGGTCTGAAAGATTTACTCCAACCCAAACATTTTGAACCAGTATTATCCGCTACTAGGGATATCGTTGGATATGATCCATTTAAAAAAACCTTTAAATCGCCAAATTTTGCAATGCATTTAGGAACTTCTTTAAAATTTGTATGTGACGAATTAATGCACCTTATAATGAAAGAAGATAATGGTTTCCGGTGTAAGTCAGATGACGAACGTATTTCGTGGTTAAAAAATATAAAATGTTTTAAAAAATTAGTACAAAGTAGATGGAATATAGAACTAGGGTCTCTTGCAAACAAGGATTTGCAAGAGAAAAAATGGGAAAAACCTTTACTGTTACCATTAATTAGTGACATTAAAAAATTTAGAGACGGAATTTTAAACATGGTAAATAATTGCAAACAAGTATTTGTAAATAATGAAGATAATCAAAATACATACAAAGATTTGGTACAGTGCATATTATCTTTGTTAATAATTTTCAATAGAAGAAGGATTGGTGATGTACAATTCTTAAAAATTAAAGATTACGAAATTGACAGAAAAAGTCATTGTGCCGATTTTGAAAAAATTTTAACAGAAAGCGAGAAAATTTTAACCAAAAGTTACAAAAGAGTTGTTAACAGAGGAAAGGGGAGTAGACCCGTTGTGATTTTAGTACCCGAAGAAGTACAAGGTTTTATTAAAATATTATTAGAAAACAGAAATAAGTATATTCATTCTGACAATGATTATATTTTCGCAACTCCTGGTAGCACTATTAAGTGGGGAAAAGGGGATGTTGCTATAAGAAATCTCTCTAAAAAATTTAATTTGGAAAATCCACTAGCAATTTCAAGTAGTAAACTAAGGATACATATTGCGACTGTCATGCAAATATTAAGCTTAACGAAACAGGAAGTTAAACAATTCTCTGATTTTATGGGTCATACACTAAAGACCCATGAAGAATTCTATGAGTAAGTACTTTAAATATACTGATTTAATGATTACTGATTGCTTTTGCTGTTAGGCTTCCAGTGGATATTTATCAAACGGCGAAAATTTCCAAAATACTATTAATGATGGATAAAGGTTGTGTACCTGCAGAATATAAAGGGAAATCACTATCACAAATCGATTTGAACCCCAATTTAGAATATGCACATGAAAATAATGATGCAGAGATGGATGATGGTAAGTTGATAACTAAATCATGTATAAATGTAAATACTTTAACCACCTTAAGACATTAAAAAATGTCGTATGAACCTTTGTTTGAAAATGAACGGTTTCGATATTTTTAGTTTTTTCTATTAAAAATAAATGTATTCCACTGGTTTTCTCAGCATTTAATTTTTTGTAAGACCTGGAATTAATTTGGAACAACAAAAGGCTCTTGAAGTTTTGATGTATAATTAAGCATTTAGGAAGTTAACTATGAAACTTGCGGATTATGTTTTTAATAACAATTATTATTAACGTAAATTAAATTGGTGTAATTTACAAGTGTACATATAAAAAAAAACTAACTTTTAAAAGTAAACTATTTTTACATCTGATGTCGACAACGAGGCGTTTCCGAACTTAAAATCAAATCTTTAGTATTTTGTATTGAATGTATTAGGTACTCACCAGTCAACTTTTAGTGATATTTCACGTAAGAATTATCAATAACCATGAAACAATTTATTTTGTTCGTTATTAATTACCTAACACAATTTGATACATTTAAAATATCGTAATATTCTATTACGTTTCAGATTTAACAATTTTAAATGAAATATTAACAAGTAGTGTAACACCTGAAGATTCACAAAACAATTTAGAATGGCAAGGTAAAAATAATTTTATAACAATATACTTAGCTAATCCTTGTATTTTAATTTGTAAGTAATATATTTAACTGAATTTTATTCATAATGTATATATTTTAGGAACTACTTCAATTATTGGCAATGCAAACATTAACAAGCCGGTTGCATCTTCTAGTACATCTAAACATTCAGAGGTTATGAGTAGGAAACAAACAGGTAAATAGATGTTTAAGTAACAAGTATACTAATCGCTTTGCAACATAGGGATACAGTAGAACTTCGATTATATGGGTGAGGATTATCTGTACACCCTTTGCTTCGACTTACCTCAATTATTATTTTTTACACATTGGAAACTAAGAAAACTCAAATAAGGCAGTAGAGATGCTGAGCCGCCACATAATTCGTAAAACTCTACGAGTTTTACGAATTTTACAATGCGTTTGACTTTATATTTCGATAACGCTACAGTTTTTTAAAGTGTTAGTTACAATTACATGTAGCTATAACCAGCATTTGTAATTTTAATATTACTAGTTTTGAAAAATGAATGAGCGTTATATAGGTATCAAAGATTTATTTGGTGAAAAGAAACCGAAAAGTTTAAACTTTGCAATAGAAACTACGTTTTATAAAAATTTTATAAATCGTAAAACATTAGCAAAAAACAAAAGATGTTGGCAAACATATAAACTATAAGCGATGTGTTTACAACATAGATTGTCTAAAAGAGAATAAACATACATAAGTAGTACAAATTTATATTATTTTTTTATAGATACTCCTTTAGAAATTCCAGATGTTAGGAAAAAACCAACCACTACCCGAAAAAGAAATTGGACTGAATGGGAAATCGCTTCACTAGACAATTATTTTAAGAATTATATTAGTACAGGAACTTATCCCTCGACACGCGAAATAAAAAAATTTATTTTGGATACTAAAATTAATCGAAATGCGCCCGTAATTACTTCAAAAATTCAGCATTTAATAAAACTTAAATTTAGAGGAGTACACAAATAATAGATGAGAATTCAGATGTTGCCGGTCTTTGCAGGTAAGATAACTTTAAATTTTTAAGAACAAACCCCCTTTTCACCTAATTATTTTACTAATTTATATTCATTTGTTATGAAAAATGGACACCAATTTTGAATTATTTTATGGTATACCATAAAAAAGTATAGGGTTAAAGTTGTGAATTATTCCGAATTTTGCAATAAGCTTCCCAGACTGGAAATAATATATAATACAGGGTCCTCCTAAAGGAGTAGTCCATTGATATCCTTTACCTAGGTTTTTTTCTTACATAAGGCATAGAGTTTTCAAATTCTCGAAAACGTGAATCAATTCTCTTGAGCAATGCTTGAAACAAATGATTATAATAATATTTATTTATATAATTTTAGTTCTCTGTAAAAAAATATTGTTTGTTTTATCGATTTTTATTTTTGGTTAAAATATAATTACGAGTCACAAACTCACCTTGTAAACAAGGTATCCAGAAACTCTCCAGCCAAATGAAAATCACATACATATTCCAGGAAAAGTTTTAGGATAATTGAACACAAACTGCCTCATAGAAGAATACTTCTTAATGGAACAATAATGCTTTGAAGATGGCGGCCAAATATTTTCCTTGCTAGATATGCACATTCAAAACGGTTTGACTCAGAAAGGCGAAATGAATTTGGCCGAAGGGTTTCTGGACACCCTGTATATAATTACAGTACCTCTATTATAATAGCAACAAACTGTCTAATAATAATAAATGTAATGGTGAAAAGCAAAAATACAATACCTCTATGTAAGGTACTTAAAAAAATGTTATAGTAATTATTAATAGTCATCATTAATTTTTGTTAATAAACCTTTAATAATGGAGTACATTAAGTCTTTTTTTTTCAAATACCTGTATTTTCACAGCAAAACTGATATGAATTAATATTAAAATTAATTAATCAAAGTATTTTACCAAATAACTAAAATTTTGTTGATATAACATTTAGAATTATTGAAAATAGAAATAATAATGAAAGACAGCCTTCATCTTGACTTGTGAATATATCGCCATCTGTAAAATAATGAACAGAAGAAAGAGAAAAATACTCAGTATCACAGAATAAATAGGTATTTATTCTGTGTCAGTATTTAAAAACGGAGTAAGTAGTAGTAGAGTAAGTAAAGTTCCTCCCGATCAACCATTGTAATGCAGGATAAAATCAATATTTAATTAAGTTTTAATTGAATTATATCAGTGGTTCTTCTGTTCATAAAATTTATACATAATTAGTGTTTGTAAATTGTAAATTAAATTAACAAAACAATAAAATAACTTAACGTTTTGTATTTCTCTTGAAGGTTTCGTGCAGATACACCACATTTTGCCGGCAATTTTATATTTTCACTCAAACTGTAAAAAATGTGCGTTTAATCATCATTTTATCATATGTGCCCAGTCATTTAGAAACCGACTAGGCATTTTAGGTATAAAACGACTGAATTTATAATTAGCCTATGATATATTATGTAGGTACTTTTAAAATTCCGTATACCCGGGACTAAGTTTGAGTCAGTAGTTATGTTCAATTTTAGAAAAATAATAACTGATGATAACAAGTTACGAACTTTTCAATCAAATACTAAACCGATAAATTATGTAAGTACAAAATTCAAAAAATTGCTTTCGTAGTATACTTTGTGAATGTAATTATGTTGCCGAAACATCGAGATTATATTAAAAGAAATTTGAAGAAATCCAAATTAAGTGAACATGCGTGAAAAAATGAACATGCGTGAAAAAATGACCATGGTTTAATAGGATTCGACAGAAATGTTGGAAAAGGAAATTTGTTATATAAAAAAGAAAATTTAAACAATCGGCAATAATTTTATTAAACGGAGACAGGTGCATTTCGAATTTTTCTAGAAATTTTGATCAGTATTTTTTAAATATCCTCAAAGACGAAGTAAGTAATAATAAATGAAATATATGATCGTATACATTTACGGAAATAAATAAAAATATTTACATACCGGGTGGGGCCTTAACCTGGGGACGGACCGAAAAAAATAGAAAAAATGTTTTATACAAAATTTGCTTCATTTTGAGTTCTCCATATCCTAAAAATATTTTCGTGTTTTTTTGCCGTTCTGTCTAGTAGGGACGCAACCATACTTTGTTATTTTAAATGGAACACCTTATGTATTATTAAATTTTTGGATTCCTCGTTGAAATTGAAGGCCACTTTGTTAAGCATACCTGGGGTATAAATATCATCGTTCAGGCTTTATTTAACTAAAAAAATGACGTTTGCATTACCTTATAAAAATCATGATATCTCCGAAAATGAAAACGACAGAAAGTTGCAGTTTTTTCTATCTTTTGATGTAATTTTTTTTTCTTACCATTTGAAAAACCACAAGATATGGCTCCATAAATTTGAAACTTTTTAAACAAGGATAATTTGATTTTTTAAATGGAAGTGTATGAATATTTTAGCCATTAGAAGCAGAATTTTATTTCCTTTCGATTTTAATAAAATGTATTTTGGCCTATTTTGTATAATTTTTGAGATTTTCGAGGTTTATTATTTTTTTAGTAAATCGTACTTTTCTATAATTAGCAAATTTTACATACCTACCATTAAAGGAAAATAGTTGCAACAGATCAAATTAACTAACTGTTTCAACCTGTTTTACGTATCCTCAGAGAAAATCACTTACTAGATAGAGATAGAGATAGAGTGCATCTGAAGATCTTGCACGCCACAATACAGGCCAAGTGAATAGCATATACCACATCTCTTTTAATGTCATTAATAAAAAGTTTTACATTTACAATTCTTATTTAAAATTGAATGTCCTGTTAACTCCCAGAAGTTCATTTCATTGAAATTATTTTGAGAGCGTGATTTAAAATTTTGTATAATAATGAAAATTATGACGGCTGACAATTTCGGTTAGAAGAGTTAGATAATACTGCAACTTATTGCAACTTCCCAACGAATAGAATCAATTTAAATTGCGAATCCGTCGTAATGACATTTTTTATTTCTTCCATTACAGAATTATCAAAATATTCAGTTTAAAAATGAATTATAACTTAATTAAATCTATCAATAAAACTGAAACCAAAAAAATAATACATAATTTCGAATATCTCAAAAATTATTGAAAATAGGCCAAAAGATACTTAAAGAAAATCGAAAGGAAATTAAATATTGGATGTAATGACTTAAAAATCCATATACCGTTCCGTTTAAAAAAATTAAGTTACCTTGTTTAAAAAGATTCAAATTTATGGGGCCGTATCTTGTGCTTTTTCAAGTGATAAGAAAAAAATATATATATCAAAAGATAGAATTCTTCCTGATAAAGCTAACTGTGAAAACTACAGCTTTCTATCGCTTTTAGTTTCGGAGATATCATAATTTTTGTCAGGTAATGCAAACGTCATTTTTTTCGAAAAAATTAAATAACGCCTGAATGGTGATATTTATATCTTAGGTATGCTTAACAAAGTGACAAATTCAACGAGGAATCCAAAAGTGTAATAATATATAGGGAGTTTTATTTGAAATAACAAAGTATGATGGTGCCTCTACTAGTCAGAACGGCAGAAAAACACGAAAATATTTTAGAATGTGGAGAACTCAAAATGAAGCAAATTTTATATAAAACAATGTTTTTTACTTTTCTCGGTTACCGAGCTATAGATCGATTCCAGGTTAAGGCCCCACACTGTTTAAACTGTCACACTTGATAAAAAGTATTAACTGTGTCTCCATTTCGTTAAAAAATGGTATAGGAACTTGTGGCATAAATTCCTCGAGTAGAATCAGCTCCTTCAATTTTTGCTCACAATTTCCGGACACCCTGTAATCCGCACCTATGTGTTTTTAGTGCTCAAATTCTAATTGTAGAATTAATATTGATGTCAATGTTCTCATAGATTAAACTTTACAAATGGGTCAATTTCTTTCTTTTTTTTTTGTATTAAAACTTTTGAGTGGTCATGAAAGTTTGTAAATAATTAAGAAAATTTCGATAATTGAAATTTTTTGTTTTTGCAACCAATAAAATACTTCATAAAATTATCTGTAATCTGTATTTATTAAGTTCCATAGTACAAGAAAAAATAGTTACTGTTTGTTACAATAAAAGTCAAGTAAAATTTTTAACAATTTAGCAAATGAGGCATTAAAACATTATGTTACATAATTCTTTTTATTGAGGTAGTTAAAGTTAAACACAATTAAATTGAATACATGTCAATATAATTAAATTAAAAACATGTGAATATAATTCTAACTATATCTTATAACAAATTGAACGTTCTCTTGTATATCCGGAAATGTTACATACCGGGTCATGATTTTTAAAAAATAAAAAAGCCCTGCTACGTCTCCTTCGACGAGGTACATTAGTACAGTAACAATTCACTAAATACTCCACGATTATTTCATTTCTATTAGGAATCCTTCTTACTCGAATGTTAGGAACTTCACTTCCTGCAGGGCAGTATCTCTTAAAGTCCTGTTTTACGGATACAATATATTCGCACCCACATTCGTATGTTCCGTCATTCCTAGTAAATCTTGCACTCCATCTATGTGGATTTCTGCCGGTGGTTACCTCCGGATCTACGTCAACAAAGGTGTAACCAGGTGGAGTAGACTGCTGAATAAGTCTTCTTGCAGTTTGGAAATCTGCTGCCGTGGGATTATCCGTACAGGGTAGCAGATCTATTGCCTCTGAAGACATATCTTCAAGAAGGAAGGCAAATATTAGGAAAGTAAATATTTTGTATGTCATAAACATCTGGAAAAAAGAGAAAAATAATTAAAAACTTAAAATTTGGCACGTACTATGGAGACGTTAGTTATCAATATGTCCAAAAATAGTATGATAGGTATTTGCTGTATACGAAAAAAATTTAATAACCCAGAATAATATTTTTAATTTCTCAATTTGGTTTTGAATAAAGCAATCATTTATTTGATAAATATATTGGTGTTTTATGTCAGAAATCCAATCACTTTTGTAATTTATACT